ACAACGTCTGTCCTTGTTCACCATACTTTCTCCGGCATAATCTGGCTATCAGGAACCGCGAAGCGATAGCTGGACCTCCGCGGCAGGGCGCGCATTCAAGGAAATGAGGACAGGATGCGTTTACGGGCTGACAACAGCCGCGTACCTTCCAAGCTTGCGGCACCGCGCGTGTGCGGGCGACCCAAGTCGCAAGGCTTCCGCTGTCAAGATTGGACGTTCAGCGGGCAGAAACGCAGGTGGAGGCATTTCCCGCGCATCAATCTTGAGTTTCGCCTCTGTTGCATTCGTCCGAAGTATAACTGACACCCTTCCCAGCATCGCCCTTCACCTCGAACATCCAGACCTGAGCGCCTTACCCGTCCACCTCCGCGTCCTCGCCACATTCAGTCACTCCGCCCTGATCAAGCAAACTTCTTCACCGACGCCAACCTCCATGCGCCGGCCAGCATGACAATGCCGCGTTTGATCATGCGACATCACCTGTACAACGTGGAACATACACAACAAAACGATGGAATCGCAGTACAACTCGGACAAACGTATGCGAAATGCCCCTCGTTCCTTGATGAGCAGCTAGGCTGCGGCAAGGGAAGTGGAGCTGGAGAGGTACCGCGTGTCTTTACGGCGGGTACTACTCGACCTCATCGCACGCAGTGTGGACAACTTGCTGGTTGGTCGGCACTACGACGCTGGAAATGAAGGATGAGGGCTTTGCGTTCCGCTCACGCTTCACCTACGGCACATGGAAAGACCAAAAGCAACATGGAAGCATGGAGGACGAACGTTGACGGATTCAAGGCTTCGGTACATGAGCTAGGCGTTGTCGTCGAGGGAGAGGTCTTGCAGGTTTTCGAGCCCCCTAAGAACACCAACCCCAGTCATATCGCGAGAACCGACAGCAATACCAACGATCGCGGTAGCGAAACAGCGAACTGCAACGTGGAAGAGAGAGATTAGGCGGATCAGATCATCAATACCGCAGCAAGCCACTCGTGAGTATGACTATTGCGACAGTACCTTCTACTTTGACTTACACTTACTCACAGACTGAACGCAGGCCCATTGAAGGGTATCAACATACGTACTAGGGCTCTGGCGACCCGATTACTTACCGCGACGCGCACTTCCCGGACGCCTACCATGTCACTTGCGATGAAGGAGTCTCCCGCGCATACCACGTTCGAGGCCGCCACCATGAACTCCGTCTACCCTCGCAACGCTCCTCGGGATACGGCGATCTCTTCCTTAGTTACACTCGCGGTGTCGTCACTGCTGGTAGCGCAGTCACGTTTTGAGGCTGAACCACCCGTCTGGCTCAACTGGGACATCTGCAAAGACTAAGCGCAAGGACTAGTCAACAGCTGACTCAACTTCGAACCTGACGTTTCCAATCTCTCCGATTTAAAAGGTACCTTTGCGCAGGGTAGGGTCATGGATCGGGGTAAGCGTGAGCGGCTCGTTGGACTCGGCATCGAACTTGCGCTGAGGGAAATGGTCTCCTACACATTGGAGAACAACCCCTTTGAGGAGAGGTTTGCGATTGTCTCGGTGCGGACAACGTTCACTCGCTACGCGTATTCAACCTTGTCTGCTCACGACTCTATCGAAAGAGCTTGGGAACTCCTGAACACGGCTTACTGGCGCTGCCCTATCTGGACATTGTTAGCCGTGTACACATCTGGAATTGATTATACAATAGCGGGCCTTCATGATCTGCCACCCGGCGCATGACAGCAGCGATGAAGGTGAAGATGGGAGCGATTTGTGCCTCATCGTCCTTCCTGACGCGTCGTCTGTCCACACTACCTTTTCCTTGATTGCTGCGACCATCGTCTTCGCCCCGCAACGACTCCACAGAGACGTCTGCTAAGCGTAACACGCGCAAAGATCGGTGCTTCAACACACAGTCTAGTCAACTCACTTTCACACTATAGAGCACGATTCCGCTTCTAGGAAGAGCGCACACCAAATCGCTTGGCAACATGTGTGTGTGCAGAGGGAGTAGATGAAGAAGGTCGATCGTCGAGTGCCTGTGATTGGTATGCCACACAGATGAGACTGATGAGACCAGTAGTGAGACGCGTGAGGTCGGTGAGGAACGCAAAGTGGATGACTGGAAGAGCAGGGCCGGTACAAACGACTGTCCATGGGACGAGCTGGATTCCTAGACGTGCATCGGGAAGCTCTCGGTCAACGATGCGCAAGTACTGAAGACCAGGACCAGCTATAGAACAAAGACGACATACCAGCAAGGAGTCTTTGCGATAACGCCGCGCAGTACACGTCATGCATTCAGTAGCCCTTCACGACCTCCATCCCTGGGTATCGGATAATGTACGCTCCAGGCTCCTACCGAGTAGTTGTACTTGCGACGCTGATCCGGACAGCATTTATCGCTGAATCAAGCCATGTACCACGCGTCGAGACCTATAATGGCGTCGACTCATAGAACTGACCATTCGATCCAAGGCCTTCCCAAAGGTCGTCTTCGTCTACCTCTCAGGCCGTAGGCCTTCGCCACACTTCCAATCGATCTAGATATCTCTCACATACCACCGAGACTTCCATTATCCGACATGCTAGCAGAGGGCGACCTGCTCTCGTTCTCTGCCCCGCGGTGGCCATGAGAAACAGGTCGCCAGGGTCCGCCCTCGGCGTTTGCAGCTCCACCGTGGTGAGCGTGAACGTGGGACCAGAGGTGACTGAGGAAGCGCGTCTTGGCGTACAACAAGTCTCCCACTTCTTGCAACCAGTTGTTTGCTCATTCTCATTCTAGCGTACACCAACGCCTGCAAGCCCGTGATCCTGCGAACAACAAACGACGAGACCGCTGCGATGAGTTCCGGAAGCGAGGCCACCGTGATAAATGCAGAGAATGAGCCCGCTACGGTGCAACGCACAACCCCAGCGCAAGAATTTGCGTTGACCCTTAGACACCGCGTTCAAAAGGATGCGGTGCAATACGATCATCCCAAAGACCTACCGACGTGGGTAATCGGCCTCATGGCTATTGTCGAGGTCGAAGAGATCAATCCTCCCAGTCGAATCGGATCCGAGGATAAGGCTGACCCCTCTGCCCGAGTTGAGTTGAGTGACGAGGCTTCAATCTGTAGCGATACCGACTCCTGGAATGAGCCAGCCTTTTACTACGACGAGATGAAATGGAAGCACGAAGAGGAAGCCTCCAGCTACGGCGCTGATATCTGTGATGAAGCCGAGACCATCGTATCCACAGGCGACGAAACGGACTGCAAGGACCGCGTTGCAACGGGTATCATAGTAAAAGCTGTGTACGAAAAGGGTGATAGCGATATGGTGAATTGCGGGTAAGTACAGCTGCCGACTCACTGCGTTATTGACCCGGCTAATCCCCCTCATAGACTCGATTTAGACGGCGCAGACGATAGATCACAACGCTTGGCAGTCACAGCTCTGAGGTGGATCAAGGCTAATGTTCTTGCGTGTCTTCCATCCTCCCACAGACGCACATCTCCAACGCTGCCTGCCTCAACACCGAAGGCCCCAGTGTCGATCGATTTGACGTGGCGAAAACAATACTGAGAGCTATCATCAAGAAGGCGTTGCTGTTCACCATTCCAGACCGTGTCGGTTCCCAGGTGGACTACCAAACTTGCGTTTGCCGTTTGCGTGTTCCGCTCCAGGTTATCATGGGACCAAGAAAGACTCGAGACAGAGATGATGAAATTGGACAATCGCGAAGACCACGCTTCGTTCTCCACCCTCAAACCATACTCGATACCAATGAAGAGGAGGAAGAGATATGCAAGCTCAAGGCGTGGGAGCATGATGCTCTTGGGTTGGAGGAGTACGAAACAGTGCGAACCCACGAATAAGAAGCTGCTCAGGTAGAAGGAATTGACTTTGTCAAGTCTAGAGGTCTCGGAGTGATCAAAGCTCGGGAAATCAAGGTTGCCAGGGTCAGTCTTAGCCAAGAGGGACTACGCCCGCGGCACGTATATGTTGTTTACTTGCTTACATGATCTATAAAACTTGATCTCAGTCCTTTCTCCACGCTTGCCATGGACCTTGAAGCTTTGAAACAGCGATCTCCAACGTTAGCTACCGTTACAGCAGCACCCACCAAGGCTCTTTTCCCTAGATTAGGAAGCTATACGCGGATCACGCCGAAGAACCAACGTACCGAGGACCCAAAGACCGCCGGAATACGTCGTACCAGCGACTTGACGACCTTGATTACGACACAATCAACGACGTCTCGCATTAAGTTCTTTCAAGAGTTCTTAGTAATAATCCGAGTTCTTTCCACGGCTTGCACTACCCCATAGATCTGTCGTGGTCCACACGGATCCATATGCCGCCTGAAGACAACCAAAGGTCCGCGCCATCGTCACGCAGGCTTTCTCAGACTGTCAGAATCTAGAGAACTCGAAGAAAGATCGCGTAAACATACCCATCTTGCCTACGCCCTCACTCTCCATAGCAAGTCAAAAGCCTGTTCATCTGAACTGGGGGTATTGCAAGGAATGATGGGTGTAAACATCTCGAACGACTTCGCACCAACAGCGCAGCCTCAATTGTATGCTCGAATATAGGACACTATATCCGTTGGATATTCCACGCAAAGAGATCAGAAGAAGGCATAAGGTGTCATTTTGGAAAGAAAGCGACGGATGTTCCACGGGCCGAAGCCGATATCTTGCGTGGGCTTCCTTGCTGCAGACAGAACGCAGACACCTAGACAGTAGATTAAGACAAAGGCCTCTGGAATAAACGTCGCGGGCAAAGCCTCAAGTGTCGTATATGTGGACCTTTCGTGGCGGCTATTGCACTTTCGAGCAGACCTTTCCTCACCAGATAAGAGTGGTAAATTATCAAATGTGTTCTTACCTCCACATAAGATGTCTTCTCCCCAAAAGCAACGAGACCGCCGCACTCCAAGTGATGGAATTGGGATGATATCTGGGAGATAGCCTGCGAAGATCAGCTGGGCAATAGAGTAGAGGCAACAGTGGACATACTTACGAGGTATCAACACCATCGCCCTCGTGGTCATGGCCTTTCGTCTTGATGGGAATGCTTTCACAGTCAGTGCTGCCCTCCTCGTCTGCCTCAATGATAGTGCCGAGCTTCTTGAGACGGCGCTTGGGGTGGCGCGTCTTCTTGTACCACCGACATTTCATCTTTCGGGGAGTTCTCGGATGGCACTTGGGGTTGAGGAGATGTATCTTGATCTGCAGGGTAATGGTGAACAGCCTCGCGGATTCGGTGCATTCTATGCTGACGTCGCGCGATGTCTTCTGAGCTGTATATCGGTAGTAGGGGAAATGACTTTCCGTGAAACTAGGACAGCAGCGCTTGGGCACAAGGAACACATTTCCGGGTGTGGAAGACCTCGGTTGGTGGTCGCTTCCGCAATCACTTTCACCATGATTACGCACCAAGCGCTAAACCCCAGCGGCTGACCGTGTTGGCTCCAACAGGTCTCATTTCCTGGGGTTCGAAGCGGGTGTGATCAGATTTGCGCTGGGATTATTTCGCTGAGGAATTTGGTGGAGCTCAATCGTGATTCACCTGGGCATTTGTGTGTCGGGGGAGGAGAGGTAATGGCGTTGTGAGTTGGGATACATGACCCTTCCAGTATTTCATCTACCTGCAGGCTTGCGTGAACGCTCTAGACCGCAGGACATCTCACAACATTTGTACGGCTGATGCCGCAACTGCTTCAGAGTCGATACAGACCTCCAACTCGACACACAGCGTGATCGCGACCCGTTTGTCTTGGTCAACCGAGCCGCAGGTACCAGGGAAGCTTCTGTCATCCAATCTTGGAGGGCGAGACTGGTTTTGTACTTTTCGTACCTTACCAGCGATACGGAGAGATTCAGGCCGCTGTCATTGAGGCGCTGATTTCCGCCACTCCAATTCCGCAAGTAGTAGTGAAGGTGGAAGGGACGGTGAGCGTGGAGAAGTGTCTGTCGTAAGGATCTTTTGCCAACCCCTACTAGCCAACCCATCGCACTACTCCGACTACCCACCATCCCCACCACTTCCGCGCGACGCGTCGCAGTCCCCTCAGCCTCATCACCATCTTTCTGATCACCCACCAAAGCGCAGCACTTCCGAGCCTCAGAAATCGAAGTCTACAAGGCCCCATACCAAGTGACCGTTCGCAATGAGAGGGATGTTTGCGCAGGAATTTGTCGGTCCGTGAACGACCGGTTCCTCCATCTCGTCCATGCTCCGCAAGCGATGTGAAGGTGTTGAGACCAGTGCGTCCGCCATCTGAGCCGTCAATTCAGAGAGCCCAACATGAGAAACGCGGCGAATGAGGGCAAAGAAGGCGGGGGCAGCTACGTCGAAGAGGTCCAGAAAGGTATCGATCGAGACAGAGAAGGCTACGATGATATTGATGATATGAGCGATGACGACCACGTGGTCATAACCATTGAGCTCGAGTGGGTATATCCGCCGCGGGGTCGCAATCTGCCTAGCTGACCTTTATGGGGCGATCATAGTGTGGTTGGAAAGCATTCAGTTTGAGCTCGCCGCGATTGATCGCGCAAGAGAAGAACAAGCCAGGGCGAGGCTTTGTGCAGACCCTCCAGCCCTATGAGCGACGCGACGAGAACAGCTTTCGGCAACGCGCGACCTATCGAGATGCGAAATCATGTGGGGTCTGGAAGAGGAGCTGGATATGTTGGCGCAAGGGCGTTGCTGGGCGGGGTCCCTGTACCAGACTAGAGGTTACTCGTGGTTGCGCGCTGGGCTTGGATCTTTTAGAAGGGCTGTCATGTTGCGACAGGAAGGCAATTGTTAGATCGCGTCTCGATGGAGTTCGTAGGTAGTCGTCTCTAGTGGCGGCGCCTCGTCGTGGCTATACTGATGCAAGGGCGGGCGACCAACGCATAGTCCGACTTTCAGGCGTGGATGCGCTTGCGAGAAGGTCCGAGGTGTTGTTGGGTGGGCGGCATGTCGTGTTTCCGACTTCCGCCCAGAGCCGAGGTCCAGTCTTGCGCATGCCGCCCTTGTGTCCTCCGCGTACACTCAGCGCACTGCTCATCCCAGCCTGAGCTGGTCAATAGGAGGGCTATCTTGTTCCCACTTTATGGGACTCTGTCGGTGATGCGCGGTGTGGGCACATGAGTAGCTCATGGGCTGCATATGACTGATTTAGCGCGGAGGCTTGATTGCACAACAGATCTTCTACACGTTTGAAAAAAGGTATATTGGCGATACAAATGCGCGCATTTTTATCGCATGTACAACAATTTGTCGCGTTTTTTGCAGTTCAGATGGCTGCAGCTTCGCTGATTGGACGACACGACCTTCCCCATCGATCCGCCACATGCTTCCCATGCTCGAATGCTTACACTGAATCAGCTGGGCACTCTGATGAGATGACTCCCGGACTATCCATCGCTGACTTGGCAGAGAAAATTCTCACGAGGGCTGATACAAGCTCCATACCAAGAGCGTTGGCGTGTTCATGCCTCCTTGTAGCGCTTTGCCAGGCTACTCAGTGCTGAACTGGGCGCGCCTCGTTTCCTCAGGCTGCTCAAAACTGCGAGGAACAAGAATTCCTCATCGGTTTCATCCTTGATCTTGTCATTTGTCAGCCCTACCACAAGATGCAAGGACTAAGTCTTGCGACTTACGTCCTTGCTCTCTCCGCCTTTCTGTTCCTTGGCCTTCTTATCATCCGTCTCATCCTCGCTGCTCCATCCGTTCTCCATGTCTTGTATGATTTGTAGCCCATATGAGGCGGGGGCATACACTTCGTTGCTCGGGGGTGCCATTGTAGATTCTAGGCCAGGTATAGTCGCGAGCTTGAGGTAAAACGCGATGGCTACGTCCGGCTTGACGTCGCAAAGACGGTCAGCGAAGTCTGGTTTGACATTATTCTCTGCTGCAAATCTTTCTAATCCCCCTGCCTCGACCCAGTCCTTGTACGCTTGCAGCTCTCGAACCCGTCTAATCCTTGGGACGGACTGCTGCTGGGAGGATGACATCGTGTAGGGTGCGCGAACTGTAAGTGCGTGTGCAGGTATGCTTGTGCGTGGTGGTGTGTATGCGTGTGCGAGTATGTTTGCGACTGTGCAGTAGAACGAAGGGTTTTAAGTGCAGTGGCTATGTACCTCTAGAACCATGGTTCTCCTTCCGCAACATCCACAAATTGAACCAGCACTATTAACAATCCATTCGTCCTAAACTTCTTAGGGTTCTTTTTGATGGGTATAGTTAGCGACGTCTGTAAGCTTAAGTCCAGGAGATAGCCTTGCTGAAAGGATGAGTTGAGAATCATAGGATTATAAGGAAAGAGTATTGAAGTACACGTAGAAGGAATCAACGTGAAATGTGTACACGCGTAACCTACGGAAGTTGCACACTGGGTAAATGTTTACCATGCGAGGACCGTTGTCTTGCTCTTTGTCAACCACCGACGGGTTGACCAGCGCCAAAAGCTACACACTTTCGCAATCGCATCCGCATCCCGACGTTTTCATCATACACTCGTAGACACACACACATATACACAATGACAGACCTCGAAGCAGCCCAGTCTGCTTACGAACAAGTCTGGGCGTCTTCAGACTACACCAATGTCTTGAACGCCAGATACATCTTGGCAACAGCCATGCCGGCTGCAACGCAGCCGTGGAGAGAGTTCCTCCGAAGATGCGATCAACTGCTAGAGAATGTCGATCCGAATACTAGATGGGACCTCGCGGGAAAGCTGCTAGGCAAGAAGAATGGAAAGTTGTTCGGGGATGTCAAGCCAGCATGGACAGAACCTCTTCCTCCCTATCTTTGGACAAGCGGCATCGGACTATGCACGTCCTTTGCGATCGCAACAAACGAGCATGCGAGCATCGATGCCGCTTATATCGAATATCCCGCAGCACATCGCATAGCAAGCAAGTCCGATGAATCCCAATCGGCCGTTGTCATCGATTCTGGTCCGGGCTATGCGTTTGAGCTGGCGGAAGGGGAGTCCATCAGCAATTGGGAGAATCGCTCCGGAAACGTCTGGTGGAGGAACGGCGGTAAGATGATCGAGCCTGTCAACATAGCGACAGCCGAAGAGGCCATGAAGCTGTGTTTGGATCAGCTATGGAAAAAATGCCGATGCCTCTTGGTTCTTCACCGAGGCCCCGTAGTAGATGCCTGCGGCACTTGGGAAGCTATGACAATGTTTTCCGGGTTTCACCGAGCTTTCAGACTTCAAGAAACCGCTCGAGACGGATTTGTCTCGATAAGATACATTGTCTTTAGTAAAGGCAGGCCGGAAGATCTGGACGACTGCATGGCTATCCTTACTGACTGGATGATGCTGCGTCGTCCTCTTATGGAAGAAACAGCGAAGCGTCTCTTGTCTGAGATGCTAGAACTGTTTTCAGATGCATCAGACCTTTGGGGTAGTCCCAGAGTGTCTATTGCGGAGAGGGTGACCGACGATGGAAAAGCGCATCGTAGTTGGCCTGATGCGAGATTCGAGGAGTCGTGAATCAGGCTCGTTTGAGGAGATAGGTAGAGGTACTTCGTGTAGACTTTTGTGGGTACGTTGAGTATGTATAGCTAGCAGTGTCTTTTTGTCATAACGTCGTTCTACGCTCGATGCACCACCACCTTTCGCAAGTTCATGGAGTGCATCGAGAGGTTGAGATGATCTGTCGTCTGATGTCGCCCGAGGCCCGCCCAAGCCCCGCCCGTGAGACTCGGCTATGCCGTGCCCTGGGCGGTAATGGAACTGACGGCTGAGTGTTGGTGGTCTTGGTCAAGATGGCTATGACGTTGATGACAAAGCGGCGCTAGTGCCCATGTAGGCTTAGTGGCACCCGGCCGCGGCCAGCATTCGCTCTGGGTCGGTGCCAGCTCTCACTACCACACCCCCCATGCATGCGCCACAGTCCACCATGTCTTGACAACAGCGCATTACAGTCATGTCGTCCTCCGACCCCATATTACCTCTAGAGCCGGAGATCCCGGTTCTGTTCTGACCAGCAGCCTCAGCGCTCTCGGCGTGACATATTCCGTTGCCCTCCACAAGACCACTCGCCATGCGACTCGCATACGTATACCGGCCCATCGCCCTCCCGCATGCGACACCACGTTAGCATCCAATCAAGCGACTGCAGCACCCAAACGCCCATATAAGACACGGAATCACGTTAAGCAGCAGCACCTTGGACTGTCCAGCATCGCGACGGCCCTGCTCTCGTGCGACGTAGCGCTCAGATCTCCACACATACTACATACACCTCAGACATCGCTCATGTCTAGTCGCTACCAATGGCCCGCCGCTGTCGTCCTGGTCACACCAAAACACGACCGGTCGGGAACTGGGAGACGATACACAGCAGGATAGCGGACCATGGGCGCGGTAGCATCTAATCCGTGGAAGCGCGCTCAACGAAGCCAATGACAGCC